ATGTCTTAGTTTGGGCTGCTACAACAAAATATCATAGACTAGTTGGCTTATAAACAACAGAACTTTATTCCTCACAGTTCTGGAGGCTGAGAAGTCCAAGATCCAGGTGCTCACAGATTTGGTGTGTGGTAGGGCCTGCTTCCTGGTTCATAGATGGCCATCTTTTTGCTATAACCTCAAATGGTGGAAGGGACAAACAAGTCCTCTGGCTTCTCTTTTTATAGAGGCACTAATCTCATTTAGGAAGGCTTTGCTTTCATAACCTAATCATCCCGAAAGCCTTCTTTCCAAATTTCATCACATTGGGGATTAGATTTCAATATATGAATTACAGAGTGGGGGATATACGCACATTCAGTCTATAGCACAGGTTTATTTGACTTCGTATAGTATCTTTAAGATTCGTCCATGTTGTTTCTGTTAACTGTTTTTAAGTGGTGTTTTTTCATCAAGAACTTAGCAATTAATTGTATCTGTGCCTTGCACCTCTCTTTTATCTGTGTACCTCAAAAAAATTATAAGCACAATTAACTGAACTTTATAACACCCCTGTGAAGTAGATAATTACAGTATGGCAAACTGAAGCACTAAGAGATTGCTTAAGGTACATAATATATGCCAAAATTCTGAATGAGGACAAGGGTCATGTAGTCCTTGTTGAAAGATTTCTTATGACGACATCATTCTAAGTTCTAAGAAAAACAAGATAGCAATAGTAATATTTAATATCCCTAAATAATCATAGCAAAGTTTTTTTTAATAGAAAAGACTAAAATATATACCGTCAGAAACCCAGTATTGTTATTTGTGATGACAGTTTTGTTACTGGATCTAACTAAATATTTTTTTGACTGTATATTCTTACATTGGTTAATTGTCTCACCAATTTTCATAACCACAATCTGAAATGGATCTTTGAAGGTTTGGATAAGAGTTTAATTTTAGTCTTTTAGTTAATGATAAATGAGACCTTTATAAAATTATAAGCTTGTGTTTGTCTTGATTGCTGGCTTGTTCAAGTGAGGTGTTTTTTTTTTTTTAAAAAAAGCAGTTTTATAAGTGGCGAATTATCTATTGATATGGCATTTGTTGACAGGACTAAGATGGACTCTAATTTTGATAAAAACTAAAATTTCCCCATAATTAGTATTCAGATGTGTTTTAACTTAGTTAATAGTAAATTCCTAAAAACGTCACCTCTCTGTGTTCCTACAATTTAAGTTGAATTCCCTAAAGAACTTATAGCTGGAGAAATAAAAGTACAGCTAAAACAGCCTATAATTTTTCTCACATGAAGCTCTTCATTATATTACTTCACCCAAGTGATTAGTTCATTTTTTAATATTGTGTATATATTAACCCCAAAAATGTTTCAACACCTGTTGGCAGTGCTCCCACCTTCTTCCTCTGCTGAATGCCCATTTATGGCTTTAAAGCAGAACTGTGAACTGCTTTTGAGAAGTACTAGTGTTGAAAGAATAGGGTGGTAAAGTTTAGAAAAACATACCACTTACAAAGTTTTTTTTTTTTAAAAATTCAAGTCTAATAGCCAATTGTGCTTTGTTTACATAGATTTTGTTATCAACAAAATTACAAAGTTACCAACTGAGCTCTAGCTAAACTTGATGTGTTACGGCTTATGTTAGTTTTCTAAAATATTTTGATTTATTAGGTTGTGATATGACAAAGTTAGGGTTTTTAAAATGAGAAACTGTCATTTGCTTTATTTCTAGGCTTCTGTTCGAGGCTGTAAAGTCATCACTTTCTAACTTACTGAGTATCTCTGGTATAGATAATGGACTTCCAATTATTAATTCTAACAGCAGGTATTGAATTAATCAACAGCAGATAGTTTTGAATTAGAGGTCTACTTAACCCACCAGAAAGCCTGGTAGGGTCTTCAAAGCCAAATAATACTGGCGTATAGAACTTTGGCATTGATGATCTTGGTTTTGTTGATCAAAAAATTACAGTCAAAATAAAAATTAATGGCTTCGATTGGTGAATCTATAAAACTGTTTCTTCTAGTTCTACAAGTGTATGAGCACTTTATTTCAGAGTCAGTTGTCAATTTTAAGAGTAAGAGATTTTAGCCTTTTTGTTAATTTTAGTGTGTATTGGCATGGATTAATGTGGTAGGAATCATTGCAGCTATTGCCTTCACAGCCTCTGTGAACATTAAAGAAAGAAGCATATCTGATATTTTAGTACATACCATGTTTAGACCTACAGTTGAAATGACAGGAAGCATTCAGTGAATATGATGCGCCAAAAATACTGCTTGGGGTTGGAACCCATATCTATTTGAGCTGTCTGTTTTTCTTTCTTTCTCTACCTGACATGTCTTCTCCTGTGAAATCAGGAACTTTTTTTGGATACCAACTTTTAACTTGGATACCAACATAGTAGATGTCTATCACGTTAAAGCTTTGTTTTATGTAGATTAAGTATCTAAATATATTGGTGCCTTTCTAACTTGACAAACTGCTTAACAAAACTTTTATTAATGTTAAGTAATGTCTCCTATTTGTATGTCCACTTTAGACTTCAATGGCAGGCTTCCTTTATATATACCATATTACATGCTTAGATAAAACTCATGTCTTACTGTTAAAGCTTGCTCATCTTTTTTCCTTAAAACATAATAAGAAGGGAAAATGATTGATAAAAAAGAGGTTCCCAAGAATCAGGACTATTAGAATTGTTAATAAAACAGATGTCTTTTTTTCTTAATTTTCTGTTGAGGTTTTAGTTATAAACAGTACATGAGTAAATGAAGTAAACCACTTCTAGCTAGCTCAACAAAATAAAGCAAATTGAAACTTAATTACCGGGCGATATTGATGCAACCTGATGAGGTTTAAAACTCAGTTATCCAAAACCCAAGACTATGTCCCTTTATAAGCACCATGATACATAAGGATTCTATGGTAAAATAAACCATGTTTTCCCACAAAGCATAAACATGAAAGTTATGTGAAGATAATATAAGTCCCATCCAAATTTGGAGTTTTTCTGAAATTAACATATCCTATCCAACACAGTTAAGGTTTTCTTTTTCTAAAATATAGAGAAAATAAATTTTCAAATATTAAGTAGGATCATTCACAGTATAATCCTGATATGGTTTCAGAAATGCCTAGTTGCGCTATTTAGTATGGTAGCTGCTAGCTACATGTGGCTATTTAAATTTAAATTAAAAATAATTAAATTAATATGTAAATGTAAGTTCTTTAGTCACAGTAACTGTATTACAAGTGCTCAATAGCCACATTTGTCTGTGGGCTCGGTATTGGACAGTGCAGATATTGAACATTTGTTTCTGTCATTGTGGAAAGTTCCGTTGTACAGCACTGAATAGAGTATTCCATTAGTAGTAGATCACATGTTCACCAGTTTCCCCAGTGTACAGTTTCTTATTATTTATAAATATACTCCTTCCCTCCCAAAGAAGTATTGTTTATCCAAGCCTGTGATTTTTTTCCCTACCAAATAATTTCCCAAAGTAATAATAATAATAATGATGATGATGAAATAATGGTCAGGATTTGAAATAGCTAGAAGCAAGGTGGAAGCATGTTTAGATTTTTACATAATTTTTATTAAGACTTAAAAATACATACCAAATTATGTGTAGTTTTGGTACTTTAAAAAGAGAATGATACACACAGACTTTCCATGTCTACAAACCAAGATTGCATCACTGAAACAGCTTATAAGTAGCATGTGATTGATGAGATTCTTTTTCACATGTAAATTTTAGAAATAATTTTTTATTGTATAACCACACCTTGAAAAGAGCATAGAAATCAGTGAAAGCATTAAACTGATATATAAATGAATTATTAAATATTTTAGCAACCATTATTTTAAATGGAACTTTAGAGTTAATCAGCATATATCGCTAAGTTCAGATTGAGAGAGTTGAAAAAAGCCGGTAGATTTTCTATTCATCTATTTCTTTGAATTTTTTCAATAAGCTAGGTAAGGATAAATATCCTTTTTATATATTGAAACTTATGTAGTGTCAAGTGAAGATTAGGACTTGAGTATGCTAAAATTAATTACATGAGGAAAGACTTTCTGTTTGGGGGCAGAGGAGGAAAAAAATAAAGATAGTTACTTGCTAATTACTGGAAAAATACTCATGTAATTTTATATCATGACTTAAGATATTTCCCCTCAGATTAACATTGATAGGTGTTTCTGAAGCAAAATATAGTTGAGATTTTCTCTCTACGTATTTTCTAAAATTGTGACTTGTAGAGAAATAGCACATAACCAATATATTAGTTGAATTATGTTTTCATAAAGTGTAGTATTTACTTTTTACATGTGTAATTGGAATATATTTTCTAGTTTCAAGATGATTTTCAAGAATTCCTTTTTCCTGTAAAAGCCACTTAAGACTTTTATGAGAAACTTTAAGATTTGTCTGCTTTTAACCTCTAGTGTCATTTTAATTTCATGTATTTTTTTTTAACTTCTGCATATGTAAAAATTGCTACCACCATGAAGGAATGCCTTTGCCATTTTTTTTGTACTACAAGCTTTAGGGCTTTAAATAAAGTATGCATTTTTTTAAACTATAGATTTAGTCTTAATTATCTTGTATTTTTCCAACATCAAAAATAAAGTAGAACATTTACTTTTATCTGTTTATTCAGTTACAAATGTTGTTTTATTCAATTACAAATGTTTGAATATAACTATTTTTAAAGATTAACACCTTTTTGAATTATAGAGTTTTGGAGAAAGTATAATTACTTTTTTCACAAAAGTTTTTGTATTGATACTTCATTACAAGACTGGGGTTTTGGCGTGTGTTGACTAAAGTTGAGAACATAATGCTAAGAATAGGTCTTTGGATCCAGAGAGTAAAGTGTAGCTGCCTTTTGATCTGATTTGATACAGTGGGGACATGGGTAGTTTATAGAGAATAAGTTTCCAGTCTTATTTCTCTGATCCCTCCATGCATCATTTAGAGCTAATATGTTCTTGTCCTGGCATCGGCAGGACACATACTAAAATTAGAACAATACAGAGAAGATTTGCATGGCTCCTGCGCAAGGATGACACGCAATTTCATGGAGCATTCCATACAAAATAAATAAAAATAAATAAAACTAACACGTTTTCCTCCATTAGAAATCTTGCCTCTTTTGCCTTCAATCAGTATATTTTCTATTCCTCTTATTTATTGGACTTAAACAAAACACCCATACAATGCCATGTCTCTTGCTTTTCATGAGCCTTATGTATATGGTATCCCCAAATTCTGCTGGATAAGTCTGTTTTTTTCTCTATATTTATCCTTTTAGTGAACTCATTCATACTCTTGACTTGAATTGTACTTTTTACATGACTGATTTGCAAATCTTGGACTGTTCTAAATCATAGTTTCTACCCCTTGGTGGGAAATATCCCTATTTGAATAGTCTGTGGAAACATGGCTTACTTTCCAAAATAAAAGTCACTCCACTCCACCACTGCAGGTTTCTTTCATTGTGTCACTGGCTACTGAGAACCTTTGAGGTAATTCTCAGCTATCTTTGTTCGTATACTTAATTCAGCATGAAGTCCTCTTATTTCTGTTTAAGATGTATCTTGGGTTTCCCGTTCCCTTTGCATTTTGTCATCTTCACTATACAGATTCTCATTATCTCACACACCTGTAATTCACTACACGCACTTTCATACCACCTTCTGTTTTTTTTTTAAAGCTTCTCAAACTCTTGCTGCAGTGACTTTTTAAAATGTATACCAATTTGTTACGGCATGTTTTCCCTAAATAGATTGTAATTGTAAGAATTATTACTTATACTTCCCTCTGAGCATAGTGCTTGATATAGTAGGAAATCACTAAGTAATTGTTCACTCATTTATTCCGCAGCTATTTATTGAGTAGTTATTGGGTTACACATATTATATTAGTGCTTCTCTCAGGAGCTTGCAGCTAAAAACAGTCTCTGATGGGACAGGAAGGCTTCTCCGAGGAGGTAGCATTTGTTAGGAGACCTGAATGAGGTGAGAGAGCTAGTTGTATAAAAGTATGGGGAACAGTTGCTCCAGGCCCAGGGAAAAGCAAGTGTCAAGGCCCCAGAGGGACAGGTTTGGTATACTTGGGGAATATCATAGTAGAGAGAGAGTGGCAGGAGATGTAGTTAGGAGAACAGGTAACAGAGGGCCTAATAGGCCATGGTCAGTACTGTGGATTTTATTATAAGTGATGGGTAAGTCATTGGACACTTTGGGGTTAGAGAGTGATATGAGCTGATATATTTGTCACTGAGTTAAGAAGGAGACTATAATGATGTTATAGGAGAGCAATATCTTGAATTATCAAGGTAACAAGCAGTAATAAGTGTTTTTGGATTTAGGACTGAGTAAGGAAAAATTGGCAGATGGATTGGATGGAAGGTGTGAGATTAAAAAGGAACTAGGAAAAACTCAGGTCTGTGTGCTTGGTCAAGTCATGTACCTTCTCTTAACATCTATTTTCCCTGAGTAAGTAATAAGAAATATCTCTTTCCTGCTTTTTTGAAGGAATTCTTATGAGGAGCTGATGAAATACTAAATGAAAGCACATTATGAATCTTAAAACATCATCATAACATTGTGTTACTTTTTAACACTAACACTTTTTAAAAACTTAAATCCCGTCATATGCTGTGTTAATTGAGAAATTTCTAAAAGCTTAGATTTTTCAGGGATGAGAACCGTAAGTCATATATAGCTTAGTAAATAGTTTAACATATACCTTTCCTTGTGTTTATAGTATATAGTTTCTTCCCAATGATATTTTCAATCTTTAATAGTTTTGTCACTATTCATAAGGATTAGCATGAGGCAGTTTCTCCTATTAATTGATAATAAATAGATTTCATTTGGGCCATAAATCTGAGCTGCTAATTAAATATAGAAGAAAGATATCTATAAGCAATACCTAACTGTCTTTCGTTTGTAGTATATTTAAAACAATGTGATTCTTGTTTTGTAAATGTTTAAAAACAAAACTAACCCAATGTCTTATAGTTTATTTACTAGTATGTTATATTATATTAACCCTGGGTGTTGCTGATTATAAACCAAACATAATCTACCATACTATAATAAATAATGACCTATAAATAAACTTCAAATATTTTATATTTATTTGTATCACACCAATTGTGCTTTTATTGACAACTTTAGATTAATTTAAACATGACTTACGGCATGAAGAAAGACAAAAATTATAAACAAACTTTTTGGTTTCTGTAATTAAGTATAATTTAACTGAATTCTCTTTCTGTTTTCCTATTACAGATTTCTCAATAGTGATGTCACAAGATTGACCACATTGATCACAGTAAGACAAAAATTATAATTAAGCTTTTCAGGATGTTTTGTTTTCTCTAAGAATGAGAATTGAGTTAGAAAATATTGAAATTTTAATTATTTTTTCTTTCAGTAGTCAATTGAATGTTTACATTTTCAGCAAATCACTTCTCACACTTCTAGTTATTTAAATACTTTAAAAATATTGCTCTAAATGATTTTAAAATATTTAAATGAAAATTACTTTTAATTTATAACTGAAATAATATGCCTATATTAACATATTTCACTGTGATTCATAATCTGAACATCATCTTTTTTTAAAAGTTTTTGTTTTTACAGAAAAATGTCAAAACATTTTAAGGTGATTCCACATTAGGAAAAAAATTATAAAAATTAAATTACTTGAGACAGTAATCAATTATTAAAGAAAGACTGTGAAAAAAGCCTTGAAAGGATTGCTAGGCTTCTTGCTTAAATTTTTTATTGATATTTAAATGACTTATAAACAGTCTTCCAAGAATGGAGAGCTGTCGAAAAAAGATAGCACCCTTAAGTAACCGATACTTTTCCTCTTAAATTTTATTTAAAGTATTAATTTCTACTGTGTATAAGGACATATATTAAAGAAAAATTTTAAGCCTCGATTCTTATTATTATAAAATTCTAACTAGTAAAATTTCAATTACAGTAATGAGGTTTTATAGCATTTTTGAAAAATCTTTTAAATAACAAATAAATTTAAAGTTAATTTTTTACTCAATGAGTCTGCTTCTTTAATCCTGTTTTAGTTATTAAGTATAGAAACAGTAATTATCAGAAATGTAAATTTATGTATAGATAATCTTTGTATTTATGTTTTGACATTTTTGGGGAAACTGGTTCATTTATTAAGTTTAACATTTTTTAGACGCCAAAGAGAAAATTTATTGTATTTTCATAGGCTTTATTGTTATCATTGAGTCTACAGATGTTTATGGCATGTTTTATTCATTTTCCTGAGAGAGCATTTTAGCTGTGTTTGATTTGTAGCTCTTTGTTTGTTTTTTCTTAATCAGTATTTTATTGCCCTAATTGAATAGTTTACAACAAAATATTAATTTATGTTGTAACCTGTTTATTACCTAGAGCTTTTTACAAGAAAAGAAAGTTTAAAATTAGCATTGGATGAGAAAGGTGTTTTTATTTTAAAAATGGTAACTCTCACAGTACATTTTTAGGGTACTATTTAGATTATTTAATTACAGCTCATCTAAATTAAAGAATTTCAGGAAGTGAGGTGGTATTATCAGATGTTATATAAGTTAAAGACTAAGAGGTATTCATTTGAATGGTTCATAAGTGACTGATAATAGAAACTCCTGCTCTGTAATAATGTCAGGGTCCTGAGGCTTTCTCCATCCTCTTGAGTAAAGAAGAGAGGGTAGATTTCAACACTGATTCAGGTGCTATTGAGTAGTTTAAGTGTTTACATTGGGCTGGAATAAAGTGAGGCCAGGGAGGGGCTGATACATTCAGAGAAAATGGAGAAGTTAAAGGACTAATCAGAGATAGAAAAGTTGGTGAAATCATAAAGTAAGAGCTAAAAGAGCAGAGTGTTGTTGTAGATGGGGATATTATAGATTGTTTCAGAGCTGAAGCTGTAGTATTTATATTTCATATAATATATACCTTATACATTTTTTTCTCAGAAATTTTCAGAACTCAATTTCTATTTTTTCCCCCTGTGTTACAATCCACAGAAATGTCAAAATCTTCTAACTGATCTTTCTTCTTCCTGGCTGTCATCAATTCCTTTGAAGGCTATACATAATATTTAGTTTAATATTATTAAAGCATTGATCTGATTCTTCTGTTTCTCTACTTAAAGGTGTTTAGTGACTTTCCATTTTCTACAAGATCAAATACAGACTTTCTAACTTGATTTTCAAGATCCCTCATTAGTTTGGCTCTAGAATATTTCCCAACCAAATATCCTAATATTTTAGAAAAAGAATCCTGCAATGTACCCAATGTAGACTACATACCCTACCTTGAATATACATTTTGGCTGCATACTTGCATTCATGTCATTCCCTTTCCCTGGAATATTCTTATTTATTTTTGGGCTTTTATTCTGATCAAATCAAACCTCTTTTCTAATGCCCTGTCCAGGTGTAATTATCCCTCTGAGGCCTTCTCTAATCATCCTAACTAAAAGCGATTCTCTCTCCTTAGTAGCTCGATAATGCAAAATTTTATTATTCCTGTGTTATTGAAAACATTATCTCCCTTGTTATTTGCATATTTTAATACATATTTTCCAACTGTATTCAGCAAATTAAGCAGGTAGTTGCTGGTAATCATAAATACCCTAGAAAGAGCTAAATTAATTGGTGTCTTTAGTTTTCTTATATTATAATTGAAATAAGTGTATAATACATGAATATTCAAAATTGAACCAATAGGAAGTGGAGTGGATAGGAAAAACAGGTTTAGAACCACAGGTCAAGTACTCATTCAGGTACTCATTCAAGTACTGTAAACTGGGTATGTGACCTTCAGTAAGTCAGCCTCTTTGTGCCTCTGTAGCTTCACCTGTAAAATGATATAATACCTATTTTTTTAAAGGATTGTTATGAGATCTAAATGTTATGTTAGTTACCTTTCTTCCCTATTACTTGTTTAACTTTATGGCTTGCTCCTTTATAGATATGCAAAGGAGCGTGAAATCAGTCCTAAAGATCAGGAATATATCCCATACATCCAAATTTACCTTACTCACACATTGTGTCCCTTTCATCTATA